ACTCACTATTCTTCAGTAACTTGCAGAATTAGATTACTGACCATGAGCCCCTTACTTTCTCCCCAAGGCTTCCATTTTCCTTTTATGTGCCACTCAATTTATTAAGACGGACAGTCAAGGATCCTTTGCTATGTCACTATTTTGTTATTACTTAGATAACAAGGAGGATTATTAAATGAGGAACTGGTTTTTTCAATACCCCTGTTCTTCACAGTGACTACTACATACATACATTGTGCCACTGAACTCACTCAGTGGTACTGTTGTGAGTGATATTCAGAAAGAGCAATTTTCAGAATTAGGTATAACGCTGTCAACTTCTGTGTTGTTCTTCAAGACCTTCCCCTTCCTTCCTATTACCATATCTCATTTCAATTCCCAGTGCACTGTGTTGGTGCCAAACATATGATTCAGGGAAACTGCTTGCTGGGAGATTGTTTAAATGTGATGCACTGTATTTTTACTGCATAAATGCTTGGCTTCCTCATGATGTATTTGGTTAGTTAATGCATTGTTCTATATGTTTCTATATTTTTCTCTTTGAACCTTGGCGGCTCAACACTTCCTGTCCAGCTGGGCAAAGCACAAAGTAATATCCTTCCAGAATTAAATATGCTTGTAACCATCTGCAGTCTGCTTGAGCAGATCCCCTACTACAGACAGGGCAGCACATCAGACTGCACACTAACAAGCAGACATCACTCCAAGATGTAGAAGGATCCTAACAAAGCCAAATTCTGAGTTTAGTTTATTTTGCAGATTGCCCCTTGTGTAAGCATCATATTGTCCTTCTTGAGTGGGCAGCGAGATAAGGACAGAATGGACAATAGCAGAGAATGAAGAACAGGAACAAAGAACAAGTTAAGAGGAGAATGGGAATTACTCTCACACATGTGGAAAAGTTATTTTCACGGGGAAAAAAGAAGAATCAGTAGAGACTGATTTTACTTGCTTTTGCTTAGTTTGCAGATTAAATTTGGAGGTAAAACACCTAATACAGAGGTGGACCTGTCCTCCTTCGAACCCTCCACTGTGCTAGACTCCCTCAGTCTTAATTTGAATCACACAACTCCTAGATCCCACCTGTCTCTATTGCACTAATACGACCTTTGTATTTAAACTGCAGAGTGTAACTGTAGCAGCAGCTGCCTACACCAATAGCAATGTCTTCCCTCCAGCCCACAACTATCAGCTACTCTTCCTACACTGCACTTTGTCCACTAGTCAGCCACCTGCCTAAGGTCTCCAACATTTTCATTTGACATTTCTTGCTATGCACATGTATATGCCCAGTAATCTGATACTTGCAGATCCACTGGCTCTATAGAACTGTAACATCACCACCACCACACAAAACATACACAATTAGCCCTGGAAGCTCCAGACTTCTAACCCAAGACAATACAGTACAGTATGGGGGTGCCATGGCTCTGATAAGGCTGCCACACACCTGGAAATCTTGATCATGATCCTGTGAAACCCTACTGGATGCCCTCCACTTATCAGGTACCTACCAGACCTCTGAAAATCCTAGACGAACACATAAAATGATCAAATTCCACCAGGACTAAATCTCTAGGTAGAAAATGAGCCTGTGTCCACAAAAATCAGGACTTGGTAGATCTTTTGCCAATCCTGGAAGCTCTGTGTTGTACGCAGCCCATCTCCAGCATACTGCCTCTGCCATTTCTCACTGTGCATTTACCAAGATCTAAAGGAAGTCTACACGAAGCAATCCTACAATTTACCCACGCTCTTGGTACTATTTCTTTCTCCAACACATTGTAGGTTTATCACACATGTTCAGGTTGAGCTGCACATGCATAAAAGCCATTTGTCTAACAGTCCATTCATTTTTTAATCCCTAAAATGGCAACTATTTCCTGCAATCTTCTTTCACTCCTTTCCCATCTTCACTGCTTGAAATAAAAGACAAACCTGGCAAGAGAGATCAGTAGCTTGCACACTAACGCTTCAAAGCCCAGTATGAACAGCCTTGGTGCAGAACACACGGTATGACTTAAGAGAGAGAAAGACAGCTCCTTTGAGTGGGTAAGAGTCATGTTGTGGTTGCCCCTACCAGTTCAGAAAACTTAAATGGGGGTCATATATATGCAGCAAAGCTAGCAAGGGTGTATACAAGAAAAGAATGACAAATACAAAAATGTACAGAGTTCACAGCAGTTCCTGGCGGGCAACCATATGCTGTTAGAAGGTCAGGAGACCTGCTGCTCTTGTACAGCAAAATCATTCCACCTGCGCTTCATCTTTTAGATCACTACCTTGTCAACACAAACATTAACACACTAAGATTATTTTTGTGTCCATCTCAGTCCTCTGCTGGTCTGAGCTAAAATTCCTGTATCTGGAGTGTGTGATCATGTATTCAATATACCCAATTGATGGTCCATAGTTACTTGCTATGGAGACATGGGCACATGCAGTTGTACATAAGCAGAGCAGAATACATCTCCACCAGAATGAGCCGTTACAGCCTGGGGTACAGCAAGTATGGAACTGCCAGCTTCTGCCACAAAATCCTTTGTGGATCCAGGCCAGATTTTTAAAAGAGAAAACAAAATGCTTTGTTGGCTTTTGACACAGAAGATCATTACTTCAGCACTCAGGCAGTCATTCTGCATTATTCAGCAGGTCGGGAGGACAGTGCCTGATGCTGGCAGGGGCCTCTGTCAGATACGAGTTGATCACATGCTGTTGGTTCATTGTTAGCTTGGCAGGGAGTACAGTGAACTGGACTATTGTTGAAGACACTCTGAATTGATTTTGCTCTGGTTTTACTGGTGGTATGTCAAACTGTAAAGCTCCAGTTCAGTATTTCCATAGGTCAGGTGAATTCACTTTTGGAGGGTTTGTGTAGTCCATGCAGGAGAAAGGGGTGAAAGGATAAACCTGAATACAGAAACATACTTCATAAAGCTGTCTATGGCTTTTCTCCCCAAGCTTACTTCTACTTGAAGTAACTTAAAATTCCTTTGAAAAAGACCCTTAACATCACGGCCAGGGAGTATACAGGAGAACAATAGTGACAGCATTGAAAGTTTTCAGTCAGTTAAAGGGTTAAAGTAACTCTGCATGGCTTCTTACTCCCCCCCCTCAACAGCAACAACCCAGACTTGAGATTGTTTTATACCACCCAAACAATGTTTATCTTTTCTCTGTCTGTCCTTGGCATTGTTCCTTCCTTATGTTAACACAATATACCAAACTAAGTTGCAACCTAAGCTTGCCTTGGCAGGCGGAAATGTGTTTTGTGGCTAGTGGAGACTTGGAAACCAAAAGGACATGAGAGTTCTCGTGGTAGCTTTCATTCAGACTTCCTGTTTCAGCAAGTGGATCCCTTAACTTTCACACGCTGTTTCTCCTTTAGTGCAAAGGGACCAATAATGCTTCTGTACTTTGTAAGGATGCTATGAAATTTAATCCTGGTAATGTGCATTTTTAAGCTTAGCTGGAAAGCACAAGTCCAAAGTGAAACAGTAAAGGCTAGAACAAAAACTCTGCAAAACCAGAAGTTCCCCACATGCTCTCAGACTGTTCCTCATTACATTGGAAAATAACCCAGTAACTGGCTATATATGACAATATTTTCCATATTACAGTTGGTCTTCCTCCACTGTTTACTATACTTTAAGGATCTGCTGAAAAAGTTGAATTACACTGCCAATAAACAATTTCATGCTCAAGCATTTAACATGAATTCAAGTCAAGAGTAGTCTGGTTGGTTTGTGGTTAAGGTCGTGTCCCCCCCCCCATTTTCTGCAGAATTTCCATCTGTTTTCTTGTAAAGAAGTAGTCTCAGGGAATTCTCTGCAGTTCATATATACGGAAAGCAAATGTACTTTGAATACCATAGGAAACTTTCAATGGTTTGCTAATTGAAAAAATTATTAACAGAAGAATTACATTTTCAATTAACAGGACCTTTTAGCTGACTTACAGATAATTGGAATTGTATTGTTAAGCTATCAGGGCTTCTCAGTACTAACAATCACTTTCGAATAGGGAGCTGAAATAGTTTTTGACCATTCACCTGGTCATCAAACACCTGTTGGATAGTTTTGGTTTTTTAAAAAGTGATGTCCACATACCAAAGATGAAATTGTCAGGCCGAAAGAGTTGACCAAAAGGACCAGATCGCACACTATCCATGGTTCCCGGCTCCAAGTCCACTAAGACTGCTCTTGGTACGTATTTCTGGGCTACAATAAAAAGTAAGCATGCCTTTAATGTTCTGAAACAAGGTAATACACTTATAGCTCTCAATGCACATACATGATGTCTCATATTATTAGTCTATAGAGATTGTACATACATAAGTATTTCCTGTACAGGAAGTCATGGTGGCAAAAAAACCCCAGCACCATAGGAACAAATTAGTTCTGCTTGAAAAACAGACCTGACATCTTTTGGGTCATACAGATTGTATATTACATTTTGGAAGCTCTTTTTTAGCAGTAGATATGGGGCGGGGGGAAGTTTCTAATTAGAAAAAAAAAAAGGTTGACATGTTCTTTGTAAGAAAGTAGATAATCTTTTCTATGAATAATGGGGTGAGTGAAGGGTTTATGTTCAAATGATCCTAACATATCACACAACCTTTTATGCTTGAAGGATTCACCTTCACTGAAAGAACTACTTGGTGTAGGTGGCAAAGGGTAGTAGATTAGTATATCTACCACAATGCACAAAAAGAATCTGTATCCAGTTGAAATTGTTGAAAGGAAACTCAGGTAATAATACGAATTAATCTGAGCTGGACAAAAGATGAAACATTCACATTTACAGGTTCATGTCAATAGACCAAAGAACTCATGATCCCCATCTTACACTGTTAACACCCTTTAACACCAGACTGACTCAGAGGATTTGGGCACCTTTGGCATCTTATTAATGAATCACCATTGAGTTCTCCAGTACCTGTGTCCCAACCCTCTCAGTCACGAAATCAGAGTACTACAGATGCAGGCTTCTGTAACCAACATTTTAATTTGGGGCAATTGATAAGACACATCTGATGAAATAATTATACGTTTAAAGAGCAAACACCTAGCATAGTGTTAAATAATAAACAAGCCTCCACCTCCAGACTGTAAGGACTGCCCCTTGTGCCATTTTTCTCTGCCTGGGGAGGTAACACCCAGTTATCAGTTCGTAGATAATCTTTTCTGAGCATAATGAGGTGAGTTGGGATCAGATGGGGGGGGCTGATGGCACAGAAGGAGCATGACTAGATGTGCAGTACGGCTTCACAAACCCATTCTCTCCCAGATGTCTGTGTGCCTTCCTACAGTCCCCTGTCCCGTACCCCTCCCCATCCCACACTTACACGACGATTCATTATAGTAGACATTGATCCTTTCCAGCTGCAGCGCTGAGTCACCGACATAGCCTCCGGCTGGGTCAATGCCATGCTCATCACTTATCACTTCCCAAAACTAAGAGAGGAAAAGGAGAAGAGGGTTGGGAACTCCCCTGCGGAGAACCGGGGGCCCTGCCCAGTGCCCAGGCGGGGGG